TATAAACATTTCTTGTATAGGCCTGTAGTAGTTAAGTCGCCTTAATTTGGCATTAAAATTGAATTTAATCACATTTTATTTTAATAATTTCTATTTTTGCACGTTAAAATTGGTGCTGTAATACCAAGAACTGTATAAATTCCTATCTTTATATACTGATGTTAATCTTGAGGTATCAGCAATTTCTACATTTCTGCAATTCAACGTCATATACTGATACTGCTTATGATCAGCATTACTATACTGATCTTACTATAATTAACATTATGTACTGATACTGGCTAACATTAACATTATTATAATATTAATATCAACTAGTAAATTATCAATAACAGTAATATCAACAGATTTTATATGCGCAATTAACATTAATTTTTTAAAATTAATTTCTAAAATTTACATTTTAAAATACAAAAAAACACGATAAATTATTAAATACATCATTAAATAACTGAATAAAGAAGAGATAAGGATGATTTATTTTGAAGCAGACGTACTTAAACATCATCCGGATGATCTTTCATTATCCGGATGCTGAAGGAAAATATTTCATTTTCAACAACTGGAAGATATTTGGAACAGATTCTTAAAATAGTTATTTATGAAATTGTATAAAAATCCAAAGCTGAAGTAAAAAATTGTACACAAAATAGCTATTCATCTGAACCAAAATTATATTTAGCTTGGGGTTATGATAATGAATGACAATAAAGATGAAGACGGCGAATGTTAAGTAAAGAAAATCTTTTGTTTTTATTTTGAAAAAATTGTTTATAAGCATACATATATCTAAGAGGAAAAATCGGAAAAATATATTTTAAATGAAAAAAAAACAAATTTTTTTCAGGTTCTCACTCCTGAAGAGGCAGACGGATAATCGTTTATGAATGATGTATGCAAGGAATTATTTAAGGTATAGCTGCGATTTTCAATATAATTCATCTAGATAAAAACACGTATAAGTTATTTCTTATATATACGGCTTAAATTATACGCTCCTTTTTTATTAATTTCCTTGTTAAAAATTGCCTGCCGAGTAGAAGAAACAATTTCATAATTGCGAATCATTAAGTATTCAGAAGGAAATGGGAAAAAATTGCTTCTATATTCGATCGAAATTAGAATTTAATCGTATTTTTTCATTTTTTCTTAAAATATAATATCTCACGAATCCTTTGTACACTTTTAAAATCGTTACAGAAATCGTTTCTACTTCAATTTACCTTCGAGATTTTTCATCTTAAAACTAGAAATTCGTTCGGCAGCGATTCAGACTTATATATTTAAAAAAATAATCTATTTTTTCCTGGAAAAATAATTTTATTTTCAACATATATTGAAGACGATAATATAAAAAAACTGTTATAATGTTTATACATATATACATATATATAGAAGGCGAAGAATATTGGTAGGAGTGAAAATTGAAATTCGTAACATTTCCGTGACCTTAGAAGTAGCGCAGATAAGGACCAAAGCATCACATTTCTGCAAATCAATTGAATATCGACCAGTTTTTGAGAGCAAACGTGCCGAAATATATATATATATACACATATATTCCCAGATACGATGATAATAAGACGAGGATAATTAAGAATGTAAGAGGCATAGATACATCCACAGTTAATGGGACAAAGGAAAAGAAAAGAGAGAGAGGTATTTATGGAGGAAGATGCAACGATCTCTCGATGTTGAATTGGAGAAAATGGAAGGAAAGTAAATTGTTTCTTCTTACATCAACCACCAATAGAATAAAGAAGAGAAATGTGCTATAATGAAGTTGCAGTTCGAATGAATCCGAATGGAGGAGTGCTATTCATTTAAGGAAAAGAAATATAATTGTATTTACTTTTGACCAAGTTGATCCTACTCTTTATCGTTAACATCTTATAATTACTATGACCCACATAAAAGGGATAAAACTACTTATTGGTATAATGAATTTTCTGCAAACATAATACTTTTTATAAAATTTAATTTGACTAGGAAACCTGTAAAAGTATATACTAGGCTCCCGATTTAACGCACAAACTGAGGTAGAGAGGACGCCAATGCAGAAAAGTGCGTTAAATCGAATGTGCTTTAAAAGCATATATTAATAACGAACTTTATAATGTATATCTGTGAATAGTACACTTCTAGAGTGTTCTATTCGCAAATTAAGAAAAAATTCTTAATGTTTCCCTTATAAATAGTCGTTAAATCGAGGTTCTGCTGTATCCTTTACGGCTTAAAATTTACCTTAAAATTATTAATCAAAAGTTACGTGGATCTAACTATAATCGATACCTGACGCGTTTAATTGTAATCCAATATTTGTTTAAATATAAAAATAATTGTAATTAATTAAAATCGATCAAGACTGTTTTCTTTTAAGCTAATAAAAAAATAAAATCCATATCAATAATGCTGCTGAAAATTAATCATAAACACTTAAACTGATCATTAAGTTTATAGACAGACACGACGGCTGGAGTTAAAGTTTTAACTTTATAATTTTNTAAATAAAATCCAATCAAGACTTTACAAATAATATATTTTTTTAATATTTCAAAGACAAACGTTGCTAACAAAAATATATATAAAAAAAGCGACTGTCATCGATTTACATTCATTTATTTAAGAGCTTTATCTTTGGGGGGAAGAATAAGATGAAGAGGAAGAAGAAGAAGAGAAAAAAATCAATAAAGTTTTGTATTGATTCCAGTTGATATCTTTAAATTATTTAAAGAATATTCTAGTTTTAATTCATTCGAAGATTAAAAAATATATATATAAGTCATAGAAAAGGAGGAAGCGAATATTCTAACTCTTTCCCCTTTTTTCTAAGTAAATATTTAGAAAAAAAGGGGGAAGAATGTAGAAGGGGGGTTAAAATTAGAAAAATTTCATTTATTTTGTTATTTATTCCATTGAAGTTCATTCCATACTTTAGAGTTAAGGTTAATTAAATAGTAACAAATCTCATTTTTAAAGCGAAAATTTAATGTAAAAAATTACTAGATAAAGAATATAATTAATTCGAATAATAACAATAATAATAATAGAAAATAAAATTTTTCCATTTAACATGTAAAAGTAATAAGTGATAATAGAAAATGTCAGATGAAATAGTTGACAACTTGGATTAAGTCGCATGCAATTGTCAGAGAAGATTCAATAAAAAGAAAGCCGATTGTATGGCTCCGGGGATAAGAAGAGATGACAAATTAGATTGACATAGTCAAAGACACAAAGTTTAAAATTTAAAAATGTTGTCGGAAGGATGGTGAGACAGAAGATGAATTCGGTGGAATGTGGCCGAGGAATCTTCAAACAAATAAGATCAAAGAAAGGAAGAGAAAAATAAGATTACTAAAGGATAACAAGAGAAGCTTGTTATACCGAAATTAGCAATTTCAAAGGGTTAAAATATTTTTAATGTCTTTTGATTACGTCCATTATCTCTCGTAATAAAGAAATTTTTGATATAAAGATATTACGCGGCTTGTATCTAAGAAATACTCTTCCTCCTTCCCCTTGAATTAAATTTTATTTCCATGTGCACTGTGCAACGAAGAAGTCGAATTTCTTTATTTTTAATACTGAATTTATTATCCACTCGTTCGTGTTTCTTGGCTTTCTTTCTACTGAATATATTTCATTTCAATTCTGTGTAAACAAATGCTTCGAATTTATATTTTGTAATATGACGTATAGAACTTTGATAATAACAATAAAAAAATAATAAGAAGAAGGAATATATTAATAGAATACAAAGAAGTCGTATGAAAAAATGATAATTTTATAACAAAGACTTGTTTTTGTCGCAATTTTGCATTGTTGAAGGGCGAATTTCTTTGTTAAATGTTAAAAGGAAGCGATTCTACTAAAAATAACCCACATTTCTTTGTTAAATGTTAAAGGAAACGATTCTACTAGGAATAAACCAATTATATTAAAAATAAATATACAAATTTACTATAATATTATCTAAAAAATAAGCTTAGATCATTCATAAATATGGATCAGGGCGTATTTTTTGGCTTTCATAACACTCCTCCAAGTAGTTCAATGTATATAAACTAACGTCAAGCTGACGTAATTATAAATTTAGAAAGAATATAATTAATATAAATTTTAAAATTATAAAAAAAGATTTAATATTATAAAAAGAGGAGAATTTCAATTTTGCGTTTAGCAAATTTATATAATCGAATCATTATTATTTGCATTAATTTTCTAATAAACTAATTCTCGAATATATCAACGTCACATAAAATTTTACTTATTTAATTATTCTATAAACCAAACTTAAAATCTAAGTTTGAAAATGTTTACATTCAATACTAATTTCCTGCCAGTGCAAATACCTTTAAAATTAAATAAATCTCTTAAATAAAAATAAAAAATAAATTGAATTTTAAGTAATAATAAAAATATATTTAGGAATAATTTAACGTAATTAATCTAATTTTACTTTAAAAAATTCTGCTACTTCTTCCTTTAAATTACAAAAAAATAATAATAATAATAATAATTTTATTTTTTTCATTTTAATTATAATTTATAGAATAAACTGTAACATGTTTTTGTACAGTATATGTAAAGAACATGACAAGTAAGAAACTTTGAGAGTTTGTGAACCTGTAACCGATTAATATCTTATAATAATGTNAAAATTAAAAAAAAAAAAAACAAAAATTAGGGAAAAACTTGTGAAAGGAATACATGAGAGCTTAATTAATCAACTCAGATAGCAAAAGAAGAGAGATTGAAAGCGAATGGCTGTGTCTTAATTACATATACTTCGCTCAAATCAGCTCGAAATGAGGTTAATGGATACATTTGTGGGGAAAACAACAGTCGACATGTCATATCTCACAAAACCATCCCCCCTTTATGTAAATATTTATCATTTCTGCAGTTTAAACTCGAACATTTTCTTTGCTACAGAACTTATTTACTAAAAATTCGGTAGAAGAACTGAATAAACAAACAAACAGCAAAACCTTTACCTGTAACTTTATCTCTAATCAGTTTGCACGACTCGACCTCTCCAATACTCGAAAAAAGACTACGAATCTCTTCCTGAGTCATGGCTTGTGGTAAATAGTTGACAATAAGATTGGTCTTACTATCTTCGGCACTTGTACCTGTCTGTACAGAGTTATGTATAGTACCATTCTGTTGAGTCGGAACTACGTTTGTATCCATTCCATTCATTGAAGCAACTAGAAAAAATTTAAATAAATTGAAAATCATAAATAAATAACTTAATCATAATCTTAAATAATTATTTATAATAAAAAGTAATTAATTTATTAGCAGAATCCGCAACTTAATACATTTTTAATCACGGCGACACTCAAGATGAGTTGGGATGATTGTTATTAATTATGAGTTGTAGTTAGTTATATGCGAATGAAAGGAATATATAAATATTCCAAACAAAATAATTAAATTGGATTAACTGACCTATTAGTTTTAAATTGATAATGAAATTGTTTGCTGGCTGAATTATTCACGGATGGATGAACCAGTAACCACAAAGATTTTATCGATTGTCTAGTAGTAGGAGTGATACAATCCTTTATTTGTAACGATTGTCTAGCTTTCAGACATTAACCATTGAACATTTTTGCATTAACTAAAGCATAGAAAATCGAGGGAAAAAATCGTTCCTTTCACGCATTTACTTCATTCGTTAACACATTTTTAACTCTAGCGTAATGAAAATTAATCTGTAATGATTCAGAAAATTCATCCCGATCCGAGCGAGATGGAGATGAAGGGAAAAAATTTTGACTTTTTTTCAATCTGGAATACATACATATACATATATATTTTCGAGTATATTTTAATCTGTATTTTGTAGAACGTCGGTTGTGCGATATCCAACCAAGAAATAATGGATGTTTCCATTGTAAGTATTTGTCAATTCAGAATGGAAAATCATGCATCGTTGATTCCAACACTAATGGATTTAGTTTGCATGGCTGATCGATTTGTGCAGTCTTTTCATAATCTTAATCTTTAAACAATTAACTATAGAGTCTTTGAAAACTTTCCGACTGTTTGCAAATCGACCCCTTTATGGAGGAAAGAAAAAAATAAGCTAAAATAACCTATTAGAGAAGTTTTGTAGCAATTATAATTTCGGTGTTTTCTCAATGATTTATCTAAAGTGACAGAATTTCAGTTTGTGAAAGATTTATGTTTAGTATACTAAGACAATAATCGGCTTGAATAGGTTTGAGGAGAATCTATCAAAGGTGACACGAACATTTATATGTCTTCCTGCCTTCTCGGTAGTATGGCTTTTTTGTATTATAAATTGCTCATTTTTACTTTCTCAAACTATTCATCCATCTTGCACATCTAATTACATCTAAAGCTATAATTATTGTATCTTTAACGGGAGAGAGTAAACAAAAACTTAATTTTATCATCATGATTAATAAATTTTTGATCAGATGACCTTATTTATAACAGAAAAGAGCAGATTATTATTTAAGAAAAGCGAAAATTTAGAGCCGAAATGCTTCAAAAAAGTGGCCTGAACAGAAATATGGCGCCAATTCAGAGGTTCGGCCTCTAATATTTTAAGTGGTGCCAGCTCCTTTGATTAGAATTGGTGCCTCCAAGTCTAAGAGAATTGTTGCTTAAATATTCATAGTTTATAATTAAAGATATGAGTATAATCAAGAGACATAACAGAAATTATAAGGCAAAATTAAGTGTAGTAGCACATGTAAGGAAGCGTATCTTGGTTTATCCGTGAGATTAATGGGTTATAGTCATTCCAAAACAATAATTTAATAAAAATAATAAAAAAAAACTTAATTTTAAAGCAATTTTTATTTAAAATTACAATAAAATATAAGAACACTTATGACCAGGCCGAATTTATATACGAGTTAAACGGACTAAAACTTAAGGCCTTACAATACGAAGATACAGCCGGGGGCCTCATATATTACGGCATAGGCCAGCTCTGTTTAAACTGCTACTATATTTTAAGTTTATTGGATTTTTTCTAAAACTTTATAAGTAATTTTTAGAACGTTATTATCTATGCCACTGGATCTAAGATTCTTCCATCGAGATAAACTCAAAAATTGCTATTTTCTTGGGAAAAAAATATTTAAAAAAATAATAAGTAAAAATTCCATCTCCTTCACAATTTTATCAAGATTTTATATCATATAAAAATGTTTACCTTGTATTTACGTAATATTCGACTTCATCAAATAAACAACGTTGTAAGAATTACTTATAAAGATCGAGAAAAAACGTTAAGCCATTCAACAAAATGTTATTTATAAAATATACAAAAATAAAAGGGGGAAAAACTTTCATTAGGAGAAATGTGATTAAGAATCTTTGCATCGATTTAACTGTACTTTTAATACATCTTTCATCCTTATTTAATTTAAAATACAGCTTGATACGGTTTCATTTAACTTGGAGTGTTTAGCCTTACATTTAAAAGAAATCATTTTTAATGATTCTATATAAAATCATTTTGCCGTCAAATCTAAAGTAATTTCCCTTCGTACGACGTAGAAGAATATTAAAGAAAATCATAATTAAGAACCCTTTTTTTCTCTTTTTTCGGAAAAAAAATGCTGCTACTAATATTGCAGAATCACTCACTGCTACAGAATTTAGAAACTCGAGCGAGTAATAAAAGGCCGTATAATTTTTATTCCTTTCAAAAGACATAAATAAGACTAAGTTANTACTAATATTGCAGAATCACTCACTGCTACAGAATTTAGAAACTCGAGCGAGTAATAAAAGGCCGTATAATTTTTATTCCTTTCAAAAGACATAAATAAGACTAAGTTAAATTATTAGATAATAAAAAGTAATATCTTTAAATCCTAACGTTAAAAGAAAATAGTTGAATTGCATTTATTGTATATATATATATACGACCTTCTTTTATGGTGTTAGAATGCTAAAAGGAAAAAAAGTTTCTTACAGAAAAAATTTCACACTTCTACAGGGAAAAATACCTTACTAACAGGGATATTTTTAAAATTTCATCCCTATTAGGGAAGTATTCCAAAAAGATGGAAGCGAAATATATAGAAGGCGAAGAATATTGGTAGGAGTGAAAATNATAAAATTAAAAAGTTATCCCTATTAATTTCCCTATAAAAGCGTTTCTTTTTTCTGAGAATCTTTCTTTAATGTTCTGAAACTATAAAAAAAATCATATGCAAATGCAATTCAACTAATTTACAGATCTTACTTTTATTATCTAATAATTTAACTTTTAGTATTATTTATTTAAAATACTTCTATAAATAAATTTATCATATAAAAGTAATATCTTTAATTCTTAACGCTAAAAACATTAGTTGAATTGCATGATACATGCAATCCCCTTTTATAGCGTTAGAACGTTAAAAATAAGTTTCTTAAAGGGAAATTTCACTTTTCTAAAGGAAAAAATTCTTAATGGGGATAAATTTAAAAGATTATCCCTATTTTAATATATTTTATAATTATTTTTCTGTACATAGAAGGAAAATTTTTAGGATAGGATAGGAAAATAGGGATAATTATTTAAATTTTATCCCTATTAGGAACGCATTTTTTCTAAGGAGGAGTGAAATTTCCCTTTTTAACTTTCCTAATAGGGATAAATTTTAAAGATTATCCCTATTTTAAAATAGTTTATGGTAGATGGTCATTTATCATACTGGAATGTTATTTAAAAAAAACAAAAACAAATTGTGTCTGTTCTGTTTATAGGGAAAATACGGTTCACAGTAAAAACAAAAAACAAAATTATCCCTATTTGAAAAACAACTTATTATATAAAACCCATTTTTACGATATTAGAATACTCCTAAAAAGAAGGGAAATCTCGCTTTTCTGTAGGGAAAATAACTTTTTAATAGGGATAAATCTTTAAAAAATTTTNAAATGCTTCAAAAAGGTGGCCTGAACAGAAATATGGCGCCAATTCAAAGGTTCGGCCTCTAATATTTTAAGTGGTGCCAGCTCCTTTGATTAGAATTGGTGCCTCCAAGTCTAAGAGAATTGTTGCTTAAATATTCATAATTTATAATTAAAGATATGAGTATAATCAAGAGACATAACAGAAATTATAAGGCAAAATTAAGTGTAGTAGCACATGTAAGGAAGCGTATCTTGGTTTATCCGTGAGATTAATGGGTTATAGTCATTCCAAAACAATAATTTAATAAAAATAATAAAAAAACTTAATTTTAAAGCAATTTTTATTTAAAATTACAATACAATATAAGAACACTTATGACCAGGCCGAATTTATATACGAGTTAAACGGACTAAAACTTAAGGCCTTACAATACGAAGATACAGCCGGGAGCCTCATATATTACGGCATAGGCCAGCTCTGTTTAAACTGCTACTATATTTTAAGTTTATTGGATTTTTTCTAAAACTTTATAAGTAATTTTTAGAACGTTATTATCTATGCCACTGGATCTAAGATTCTTCCATCGAGATAAACTCAAAAATTGCTATTTTCTTGGGAAAAAAATATTTAAAAAAATAATAAATTTTAAGTATAGAAGAATATAAAATGAGTTTTGCCTTAGGACCTGCATATTAAAAGACAAAGAGAAAGACTGCATTAAGCTCGTGTTAAGCTATTGTAAACGCTTTTATTATAGCTTATAAGTAAAATACAACAGTTTTTATTATATAAAACTAAATTTAAGATGTAACAGGATAGTTTATAATGTATTATATAGAGAGTATGCGGGTTATATAACGTGTTTATGTATAAAAAGCTTATACAGTAACCACTTTAGGAGCATTTTTTCTAACTTACACAGCATAATTATATTTATTCAACAAAAAAGAGAGATATTGGTAAATTTTTCAAGAACGTCCATTTTATTCTGTTACAAAAAAAAATTCACTTGGAAAAAAGGAAAGGAGGGGGAAGAAAAAATCAACATGTGAAATATTGTAACATAACATTAAAAATTTATTCGACGGCATAAAAACTTTAATGATATGTTCAATTACTTTATTTATAATTTATAAAGTTTGCGTGTTTTTTTTCCTTCTTCTTCCTCTTCCCAATGGCAACTTGCCTTTCTCCATTTCTATTCAACACCTCTAGCAACATTTTGGCAGTCTCGGTGTGCCTTCATGAATTCATTCAATACATCCAAACCATCAGAACACATTCGTAGCAATCCTATCAAATCTCACACTGTTCCATAAGTATTACTTTTCTAAATCATCATAATATTTATCATGATCAAGCCTAATCTTACCATATATCTTTCTTATAAAATTCATTTTTGTATTTGTCTTTTCTGTTCTTATTCTTTATTTTTGCTGTTTCCTCCTCCTCCTCCCCCCGTTTGCTTTCTTCATGTCGAAATTCCACATCCAAACACGGGAAATCAAAATATTATACTGGACAGACCCATCTCAGTTATATATATTTTCAGCATTTTCTATACGAATTCTCGTTACTTTCAGTTCGGTATTATTTTGGGTTGATACTTTACCATTTTCTAAGGAAGGAAGGAGAAAGAAAAAAACAGAAATAATCTTTACAAAAAAACACATACTTTAAAGATGAATCTGTCCTTTTGAATATTTTCTTCTGTCAATCTGAATATCTCTCTCTCTCTCTCTCTCTACCCCATTGAATATTTTTATTCTTTTCTCGAAAATTGAACTTACACAAACAAAATCCCATTATATATCCAAGGATACTCTCACTTTAATGACAAAACAACAGGGTTTGGAGAAAGAAAACGTGGAAAATGAGTACCGACCACGATTTAAGTGTACATTTTCATAATTAGATTTCTCCATTTCGGGATGTTGAAGAAGAATTTTTTTTTCCTCCCTGCGCTAAAAATTCTCCAAAAATTAGAAAACTTAATGATTTATCAAACTGTAATCTATTTATTACATTACAAAATTCGCAGTTTATGACAGAAGTTGTTTAAAAAAATATCCTTCTAGCATTTTATAAATCGATTTTTCTTCTACCAACCGATAATCATTGTCGGAAGTACATCCAATTATCATCATCGTATCTTTTTTTTTTGGATATTATCTTCTTATTTTGAATGTGATTATATTCGGCTAGGTAAGATGAATGGTTTACAATAAATTTTTTTACCCAAAATGAAAATGTGATTCCATACAATTTTAAAAAAACGTATAGATTCACATGTATCAGGAAGGGAGGTAAAGGTGCACCGAGATGAAAATGCTTATCGACCGCCAGCAGTGGGCAGAGAAAGGAACCTAACCACATGTTTCGGGGACATACAGCAAAATACAGAATTTCGGCAGCCAATCATTCAACCAAAACTTGATGGAAGCGAACCACTTCGTAACTAGGTGCAGCTTTTCCATACAAATTCCTCCCTCGAGAACTCAAAACTGTACCGAGATCTGTCGTACTGTTTTAACGTTACCTCTACAAAGTAAACAATTTTATAGATGAATTTATGAATATAATGGTTTCTAGTCGAGTAAATGCATTAGAATTATTGGAGAATCATGCTCAAAGTAGCTTACATTCTACAAGGACTAAGTATCTTTATCCGAAGACTACATAACAGTCGTAACTCGTGACACTAAACACTAACCAAGTCGGATAATCCTTTAAGCTCCGTGCCATAACTATTGCATATGTTTATATATGTAAAATGAATGATAGTTTGAAACAATCTGTAGAGTTCTTTGAACCATTAATTAATATCGCATACGATAAAATGACAAATTAAATTTTAATGGCCACTCCAACGAATTACGCGTAGAGGGACTCTTCGAGTTCAAGCGAAATTTGACCTTTAAAGTTTTAAATATGTAAAAGTTATAATATTTGAATTAAAAAATTGAATTTTATATACAGCAAAGGAGAAAAAAAATAATTCAAATTTCATATACAGCGAGGTTACTCACAGGATATATTTCATATATAACATGACAAGTTCAAGGTTTCGACATTTTATACATAGCGAGAATGCTACAAGACACTTTAAGAATTTTATATTTTATCACAGAAAATAAAATTAATTCTCGTATATAACGAAAAAGTGGCGTAATATACAGGTTTAGATTAAAAAATAATAATTTTAGGATATTATAACAAGGACAAATGCTCATTATTAACCTGGGAATGACTTGGAGTTTGTGTTTTCAAGTCTGCTAAGGCATTAAACAAGTTCCCAATACATGAAATTATCCGAATTTCCCTTATAAATCTTCATTGTAATGAAGTTACAGTTTGGAAAGTGTTCATTAGAAACGGAATCTAGATCCGTTTTCGGTTAATTGAGTATATAAAAAGGAGGAAAAAAAAACCACGGTCGGATTTCAATTAAAATGGAAGAAGCCATTTTTGCGAGTGCGACTGTTAACGTACGAGGTGTTAGAGGTGATAAACAAGTAAGCCAATGTAAAAGAGCCGATTGTGAGACCAATAAATATAATAGAAGACATCCCTCGCAGGGGGATATTTCTGACCGGATGTCACGTGATGTCGTCCCGGTTTCGCTGACGCCAGCGTTACTATGACAACGAAAATCCCAAACATGACGCTTTGGTCGATAAGTTGGGAGCTGAGCACAGGACGACGTTGTCTAAGCCGAGCATAAAATACGATTATTCGTTCGAATAGATGTGCTGCTTCCTATTCACAATTTAAAAAAAAGAGCCATCTCTCTTCATATATTCGTAGAAAAAAAAATATACGTGTGTGTATGTCTGTGCGTTGTATATATATATAGGAGCACGCGTATAAGTACCAAAAAAATAATCTACGAAAGCTAGAAGTTAAAATATTCGACGAACTTGCCTATAAAATAACACTTTTAGCGTTAATAAAAGCAGCTGCATCTTTCTAAACACGAAAAATTCGATTTATAAAGATATTTATATATATATATTTTCCCTTCCATTATTTGCGTGAAGGAAAGAAGTTATACGCCAACCATTTACTGATTCAACAAAATCCTAAGTCACTTCTAAAATGCTTACTGTTGGTGCATATATAGCGAAAACTGTGTAATAACTAGCTACATCTTGGAAAGTTACGTACGAGAGAGCTCGAGTAAAAGGAAAATACCACTTTATAAGATCTGATAATATAACTTATATATATCAAAGTAAAAAAAAATATATATATATAAGGTATCTACAATCTCGTTTTATCTTATATTCTATAGAAATTTATCATAATGTAAAGAATTATTCCTGAAAAAAAAGGTTGCAATATTTATTTAACTGTAAACAGAATATAATATATATATATAACTTATATATTTTTAAACAATACAGTAAGTAAAAATTATTTTTAAATTTAATCGATAAAAAATATTCTTTTTTATGGTAAATATTTATCGATTAAACTAAATTTCAGATTAGTTATATAAAATATTCATAGAGAAAATGACAAAAATGGCTTCGTATGACTCCTTTATCAATTATTAAACATTTATATTTCAAGTGAAATAACCGCTGTGCTGTAAACTCACTCACTCACTCTCCTCCCCCTCTCTCTCTCTTATTATGTAAAATACTTTCTAGTATTATTATTTAATAAATTAAATACGATAACAACAATAATAATAATAACAATAACGTATAATAATTCATCAAGTTGAATTAGAAATAATCACCAAAAACGATTCTACTAAAGAAACAAATTGAAATCTGTATACAATTTCGCCATCCTCCAACGAAAAAATCATGGAAATTTATTTAGATCATTGTCCATTAATGAATTTCCCGTATTGTTATAACAATAATTGCTAAAATAGCTAATATATTAAGCATTACGTAAGCATAATCGTCATCATCCCCGTTGTAAAAGAAATGAAATCGGATACCATTAAACTTACATAATGCTCAATATTAGTCTTTTTTAAACTCTGAACTAAAGAATAAAAAAATATTCGCTAAGTTAGTAAATAAAATATTTATGTAAGGCAAATTAAATTTGTCCGTTTTAAGATAAAATACACTTATCGTATTTACGTCATTTTATCTATCTACATAGGAAAAATAACCTTTAAATTTGAGCTCTTAACAGCAATTATTATATAAATATATCTTCTTGCAAAACATAAAATTCGAATTTAATTACATAACCAATAACGACTCCTTCTCTATCTTAAATATATTTAATGGAAATTGCTGTTATTAACTTTAAACTTTAATTATTATTAACCTTTTTAAATTTTATATAGGCATAAATATTGTTGGATAAGAAATAACTAAAGCAATTTATGTTTTCTCCCTTCTCCCAATGATATAGATATTCCAGCCTAAACATTATTTTTATTTTATAATACCCACCTGATCCAGATCCGGATAACTTGTTTAGTGTCTCAGGCATCACTCCGAGATAAATGTCCACTATCCTGTAAATATAATAAGATATCTACGTTGTCTACCTAGCTTTTATATATTATATATATATATATATTTATATGTATACAAAACTATACTCTTTACATATATACAATATATAAATATAAATGTTTAATATAAAATTAATTATATAAATAGAACTATAATTTTCTTTTAAAAAAAGTAAGGAAAAAAGGAAATTTAAATTTAAAAAACGATATACTTTTCAAGGTTTTATTCATATAAAAAATTGCAATTTTTTTAGTATTAAAGTATATCATCTTTTATATAATTTTACTGACTTTTAACTTTGAAAATAATATATATAGAAAAATATTTAGGAATAGAAAAAAATATATATAGTTTTTTTTTTATTCTTTTTCTATAATAATGATATATTGTTTACTATTTCAAAATCAATCTTCTTGCTAAAATAAAATTTTCAGCACAAGAAATGATAGCTATTAAATTTTTAAGCTTGGAAAAAATATATAAAACTTCTGCTAAACAATTACTATTTATATATTGGCAATATACCAATTCTTTTTTTTAAAGGAATATAAAATAAATTAAATATGCTAAACACATTTCAAATAAAGAAAGGATAAAAGAGAGATCTATAAATAAATATCGAAGATATATACATCAAATAATAAAAAAAAGGGCAGAAAAAAGTCGATCAGTTGACGTCATCGTCGTCTTCCTTACTCGACTAGCACAAAACGACAACATCGGGATACCCTGTTCAGTTGATTATCCATCACATCCCGTGTGTTCAACGCGAAAAGCTCATTTACAGGCGCTACGCAATCTCGTTTATCTTCTCTACCATCCCACCCTATACTATTACACCCCTTCCCGACTTATCCATTGACGAATTTCGAGGGGTGGATGAGTGTACGAGGATAAGGGACGAATATAAGATCGTTAGCCAGTGTCTAAAGTAGGAAAAATATCGTAGGAACGATGAGATGTACATATTTTTTTCTTTTTTTTTCGGTCGAAGCTCTTTCCTCCCCACTCTTTTCAATTACGTTGCAAACGTCGTGTACCTCACGTGTGATCTAATCTTCTATGATGTGACATCGACGCGAAAATTCTCAAGAGTCGGACACGTCTGACAAGCACTATATTACAAATTCGGTCATAAAACGTTATATATAATAAATATATCTGCTGGATCACGTAATGTTATATAGTTTAAAATACGTGATTTCTCTCGATACCCTTGAACTTAAAAATCCTTAATTGTAGTACATAAAATACAAAAGAAAAAGTTACAAAGAAAAATATGTAGGGGGAAAAAACTCTTGAATGTTAGATGCTGTTGGTTGTTTTCAACAATATATCCTGTTTGTATCCCATGAGAAATTCATATCAGAAATGTCGATGTGAAGAATCTTGACACAAGTATATAAAAATATATATAGATATATACACAGTGGCATATCCAACCAACTATTTCCAGTTATTCTAACTGTATTCAGTTTCATTCAGATATCCCACTCTTCTATCTTAGACTTACACGTGAACCGAGAATAAGAATCTTCTCTCCTTTTTTTTTATCACAGCTGTTCCATCTTCAAAACTGGAATATTGCATTTCGGGAAAGTTGGGAAAAGGACCAGCTGGTTGGACTCCTTTTCCTCTATCCTGAGGGCGCATGACAAGTGATTGCTTAAAGAATCGTAGAGGAATAAAGAAGTTTTTAGGAGACCTAAAGGCACAGTCCTGGAAACGATTTCTGTCCAAACTTTTCTTCTTTTTTATATAGGAATAAATATATATATATATATATATTCTTCGGGATCACAAGAGAATTTTCTTTTCCATCAGGGATAAACCGAGCGTAGAATATCAATAGAAAATTGTTTTCGATTGTCGAACAAATAACTCGTAAATAAAGATAATTAAAATTCTCTTCATATAAATACATAATTATTACGAAAATAATTGATATAAACTAATTAATAATAAATCATTTAAACGTTATATATCGTTACCCCTTTATATAAATTTTCAGTTTATCAAAGGATTTTCTACACATTTACTAAACAAACAAACCCGAGATTTTGATTAGAAAATTGAATAAACAAAAATTACTTTTAAAACGTAATGAGATGAAGAAAACACAAATTCTTCTTTTAATCTAACCTTACCTTAACATTAAAATATAACAAATTTTTATAGAAAAATATAGTAAGAGAAGAAAGAAACTGAGCGCTCTTCATCAGAAATCTCTTGCTATTTTATTTTTTTTTTTTAATTTTCCTCCACAAAAAATATATTTATATCTAATTTTTAAAGTTTATAATATATTTAAAAATAATCGATTCTTATATTTTTAAATATTAAACTTCCAATTGAAACAACATTCGTGATTCTTTTAATGATTCATAACTCGGTGCCTTGTTGTTAGCTTTTGCATTGTCTCTACCTTCACAGAACATGGAGACTTGGATAAGACTGACGTAATTTAATAACCAGACAGAATTATTCGCTTCGGGCATCGAATTCTTTTTCGAATGTCTATTAAAATTCTTATGAAAATGTCAACATGATACGAGGTGTAATGTGTTTAAAATATGAATAATTTTTAATAAACACAATTTTAAAAAAATAATAACAACACAAAAAATCTAATCTCTTCCCTTTATAATCGAATTACTTAATTAAATGACAACATGAAAAAAAAATTAAACTTACTTTTTGTTTATTAACCTCTTCCGGAGAGTCACATTTAGGCGTATGTAGACAATCTTCGAATAAAAGTTCCCTTTCTAGACTACCACACACGTCACACTCGTTATGTTTCCACTTTAACAGCGACCAGGGGTGAATCGAAACACCAGTTTTATTAATTCCAACAGATTCGCTCCTAATTAAACTATCCGATTGCATTTCTCGAATCACAAAAATATGCTTAATTTTCTGCAAAAAAAATATATAATAATTTATATTTTTACTCGACTTATTAAGTAAATTTTCTCTTTGTTTTTGCTAGAGCAGAAAATTGACCTTTTTTTCTTTCCTCTTTCTTTTCCAATCTTTACTTCTACTCTAGCGGAAAAAATGTTAATTACACGTTTNTATAGATAATTTTTTCCCTAGCTAAAAAAAATTAATTAAATTGATTTAATCGTTTTTCTTCCGAGGAATAGAAAAAAATTGTAAAAATGTTAATCAAATTGTCATTTTATACTCAGTTATTTTAATGCTTAATACTCACAATTAGTTTAGGTATCAAAGATATTTCCGTCGACACACAGTGACTTTTCTAAGTGATTAATTAATTAGGAACTTAACGATGTGGATCATAATGCCAAAGATCTATTTTTGTTTTGATGATGGATTGTATGTCGCCATTAAATAAGTTATAAAAACGTTACAATAAATGACTAAAAGCTTTATTCGTAATTATGAAAACAAAATGTTGCAGGAAGAAAACAAGATGGATTCTCTCTCTCTCACACTCGCTCTCTCTCTCTCTCATTCGCTCTATGACAACATACAAAAACAACAACAACAACAACAAGAGAATTATCTCGACGTTTGCGCATTTAAAAACTGGAATTTAATAGTTTTAAATGGAGGAAACGATTTTTCCAACACAATTATCCTTACGGATAAAATCTATACATGCGGATCAATTAGTGACTAATGATAAAATACGCCAGACTAAGCCACATCATCACAGAAGAGTAGACATAATTCCTATCCATTTTATAAATTCCTCGTCCAAAATATAATCTTCATAAAATATAACAAGGTAACGATAATTCTATTTTTTACCTAACTTTACCGGGAAAAAAATTAGAATTCTAACAAAGAAATAGTTGCATGTTCCAACAAAGTCAACGTCCCTGTGGGATTCCTTAATCTCTTCAAACGCATTATCTATAATGCATTAGTCGACCAAAGATTGGTTTATATGACGAGCCTGCAGGTGTGTGAGAAATTTGGCTTAAATTTTCATCCTCACCATAAAAACACATAGAGAAAAACCTCCACTACATGACCGGCGACACAAAAACTCCAATAAACTAATTACATTTACGGTATGAAATATAGCTTATTTTTAAGGATATTAACAGCGGTATGACACAGTAAAAAATAATAATAATTAGCTACATAACGGTAAGACGATCGTAACTAGAAATGATACAAAAATTAGGTACATATATAGATAAATATACATAAAACCATGCAAAGATTAAAATTGATATATGCATATATCGGAGGAAAAAACAAAATATTAGTTAGATAGATAGATACACAAAGGAAAAGGCATTACAGCGCATATAGCAGACTTGACAGTAACCGTTAGATTAATGTTAATCCACAAACCCAAGTGGAAAGCGTCAGCCATTGTCTGTTAAAGAGGCAGACTCCGGCACACTCACCTTATTCGTTGTGGAAGTTAAAGCAGAACCCGTTTGTAAGTCGTCTTCGGCTTATCGATGTGGTGTCGTTCTATGTGCGTGATGATTGTATGGTTAAGTCCTTGGAAAGTGAAAACTAAGAATGTAATAGGAGAGAATACCGAAGCAGATTTTTCCTACGAATTTGTAATAACAAAGTAGGACGGCTACAGTTGACTTATTAAAGCAGATTTAGTAAAAAGATGTCGATTGTGTTGAAACAGAATGGAAAAACAGAAGAAAGAAACGATAGCAGCTCAACTTGTCTATAATATAACTCAACACAACCTTTCTTTCGCCACGTGTTGAACTAAATGTCGACCTAAGGTCTACAATAGATGCGATAAATCCGTCGCCACACCACAGCTCATTATGATCAAACGCATCCGCCGTCCCGTGCAATAAAACTAGTTGCTAGCCATAATAGTTATATACAGGGCGGAAATATATTCGAAACATCGTAAAATAACGTCCGATCTTTCGAAACTTTAATAATTACAACAAGTTTTAATCGTCTCGAGTAAATTCGCCGACTGTAACGGAACTACATCGGCGGCGGAACATATCGATTAAGGTGTGACGCGTCTGACCCAGAGGATCGGAGAAATGGCGTCTGCTAACAGTCGTTGTCATTTTGTAAACACTTAGTTAATTTTTAAGCCGATAACATTTAATTTTAAGCCAACTTCTTATTGTTATTTTCTACTCGGTTCCTTGTCGTTTTTTCTTAGTTTTTAAGATAGTGGGATTTTTAAAATAGGAAATGGCGTCCGGTAGGTGACAGCACCATTCGTCCAGGAGGGAAGGTATAATGGCGGACGAGAACTGGTAAGGTTCTCGCGTTATCTCGGTTCGGATGGAAAGAAAGCTTTAAGGGGAAAAGTATTTTAATGATATTAAGTGAGAATTATTATATTTAACAAGCTTATCCGATTCAATATGGCCGATGAAGCGTCAGGTTAGTTTATCTAGAATTTTTCTAGGAAAAGAACTTCTCGAAATATTTTTCTAGATATTAAGATAATTAGTCTCATTTGACGTTTATATAATTACATATTGATGTTTAAAACTTGTTTAATTAAACGAAAAGCGGAAAATGTTTTCCCAGCATCCACCGTATCCCATTTCCATTCTCGCACCGATTTTAAAATACATTCAATTATAACAAACTACACTTATTGAAAAATTCGTCAGAAAATTACATCAACCCTTTCCATTGTCCTTACATTTTTTATTTATTTATTTACTATTCTTTTACTAATAAAAACGGGAAAAAAACTTTAAAAACTTTTATTTATTTTATACGTTTAAACGAGAAAATAAATATAACGGACATTATACAGAGTAATTTTTATAAACGGAAGTTTTTTCCGTTTATAATAAGCGAAGCGATGAATTGAATGAACATCGCTTGCCTGCTGTTTTTACCCATGACTACTTACAATGGCACGATCACGTGACATCTTTCACGGCCACACAAAGCATGATGTAAAAAAAAAAACACAAACACACACACACACATACACATATAATACATATAAAAAATTCCCCCTTCTTCTCAATCTCATTCCCTTGTCCAGTTTATATTCTAGTTAACTTTATAGAATAATGAATGAAATTTCATTTGCATACATTTTCCTCGCTGCTTTTACAAGTACACAAACTTTACAATGTACACGAAATTTATGCTGATGAAGTTATTTGAATATGCCTTTTATATGAAACTGCACATATCTGAAAACACAGTTATAATTTATATAAAGATATAAGTAATATTATTAACAATGAATGAGTTTAACATATTTTTGCGTTATGTACTACTGTTTGTGTATAAGATTTAACATTTTTTTTAACGTTTAAGGGGTAAAAAATGGTAAAATATTACATAAACAAACACTAAATAAGCTCATTTTTTCAATATCTATTATTATACACACCTGCAGTAAGTGTTTGTATGTGTTATTCTATAAATTATATATACACAAATTTAACTTTTCCTTGTATTTTAGTTTCTACATTTATTCATAATAAACTCCCCTTCAATGTTTTTAAATCATAGATTTCAATATATAACTCAACATCTTTTACCTCTGTATATAATATTTATATCGTTATACACGTATACGATGCATACATTATACGTAAATATATTTTTAGGTTTTATATTTAGTCATAATAAACCTTTTTTCCGGTGTTTTTATGCTTAATTATTTTAAAAAATTGCATAAATTAAAGGAAATATAAACGTGTGAGAAGCAATTTCTGATTGGTAAATTTATAACAAAGAGAAGATCGTAAAGGCTGAAGATGCATATTTATATTTCTATGTATATTTTTGTATATGTTCATCAGACAATATGTTTTGTTAACGTGGGCTTTTCTTTCAACAATGTTTAGTAACATTCACGCGAAAAAAACAAAGGAAAAAAACACTCCTGGTTAATTAATTTCGTTTCCACTCATAACGTGAGCATGTATACATAATTTATATCAACATGTATATGTAAACATATATACGAATCACTAAAAAAACATTTAAATATATTTTTTTCCTACATTTTTATGATTAATTTATATCCATTTGACGAAAATAACGAGTGGAAAAAACTTTTAAAAATGTCTATTAATTGTGTACACGAATCTTAGATGTTAATCTCATGAATAATTTAGTACACGTGTACGATTATATAACCGCGAATCAATCATTTTTATAATTTTTTAAAAGTATTTTTTAACGTATAGAAAATTTATTTTTTAATATAATATAACCTCTGCGCGTACCCCCTTTTTTTATAAAAAAAAAGTTGTAAAGTTCTTGCAGCAGAAGCGATTTTAATTTACGTTTAGCAAGAGATACAATTTTTCACGAAATTTCAGACAGACAGGAGAAAGTTAACTAGCTTAAATTGATTATCTTACGCATCACCAACTAAATGAATAACAACACACTTATGAATAAGTAGTGAAAAATTTTCCAAAGGATTTGATGGAACATTGCCTTGACTCAACCAAAATTCCTACAATATTGACTCGAATCTTTGTCCAAAATAGGAACAAAAATTGAAGAGTAGCTCGGAGGCAGTAGCCCTCATACAAATGATGCCATTTCAAAGAAACTTTGCTAAGATATTCTCTGAACGACTTCTATTGAAAAGATGCCCCTATAAAGGATATTCAAATTGGGCTAAAAACTAAAAAAAATGGAAGGAAATAAACTTTATATATATTCACGTCGTTACATAACCTTAATACTAATGAAACTGTAATCAATATTTTGAAAAATTACTTTTTCTTTTTTTCCTTCTTACATCTCTCTCACCTTTATAAGAAAGTAATAAAATTAATTTTATATCCGTAATAATTTAATTAATGTCTCACTTTGTAAGAATTTAACATAATTTTCTCCCTTTCTATCGCCACAATACGTTTATAAATTGATTAAAAACATTTAATTAAAGCCTCGTTTGCATTCTCTATACCTTCGTTTATTTGAATAATAAATATATTTTTTTCTATTCATATGTTTTAATAGGCGATTAGATAATTTTAGTCTTTATATATACTAATAAAAACGGGAAAAAAACTTTAAAAACTTTTATTTATTTTATACGTTTAAACGAGAAAATAAATATAACGGACATTATACAGAGTAATTTTTATAAACGGAAGTTTTTTCCGTTTATAATAAGCGAAGCGATGAATTGAATGAACATCGCTTGCCTGCTGTTTTTACCCATGACTACTTACAATGGCACGATCACGTGACATCTTTCACGGCCACACAAAGCTGATGTAAAAAAAAAAACACAAACACACACACACACATACACATATAATACATATAAAAAATTCCCCCTTCTTCTCAATCTCATTCCCTTGTCCAGTTTATATTCTAGTTAACTTTATAGAATAATGAATGAAATTTCATTTGCATACATTTTCCTCGCTGCTTTTACAAGTACACAAACTTTACAATGTACACGAAATTTATGCTGATGAAGTTATTTGAATATGCCTTTTATATGAAACTGCACATATCTGAAAACACAGTTATAATTTATATAAAGATATAAGTAATATTATTAACAATGAATGAGTTTAACATATTTTTGCGTTATGTACTACTGTTTGTGTATAAGATTTAACATTTTTTTTAACGTTTAAGGGGTAAAAAATGGTAAAATATTACATAAACAAACACTAAATAAGCTCATTTTTTCAATATCTATTATTATACACACCTGCAGTAAGTGTTTGTATGTGTTATTCTATAAATTATATATACACAAATTTAACTTTTCCTTGTATTTTAGTTTCTACATTTATTCATAATAAACTCCCCTTCAATGTTTTTAAATCATAGATTTCAATATATAACTCAACATCTTTTACCTCTGTATATAATATTTATATCGTTATACACGTATACGATGCATACATTATACGTAAATATATTTTTAGGTTTTATATTTAGTCATAATAAACCTTTTTTCCGGTGTTTTTATGCTTAATTATTTTAAAAAATTGCATAAATTAAAGGAAATATAAACGTGTGAGAAGCAATTTCTGATTGGTAAATTTATAACAAAGAGAAGATCGTAAAGGCTGAAGATGCATATTTATATTTCTATGTATATTTTTGTATATGTTCATCAGACAATATGTTTTGTTAACGTGGGCTTTTCTTTCAACAATGTTTAGTAACATTCACGCGAAAAAAACAAAGGAAAAAAACACTCCTGGTTAATTAATTTCGTTTCCACTCATAACGTGAGCATGTATACATAATTTATATCAACATGTATATGTAAACATATATACGAATCACTAAAAAAACATTTAAATATATTTTTTTCCTACATTTTTATGATTAATTTATATCCATTTGACGAAAATAACGAGTGGAAAAAACTTTTAAAAATGTCTATTAATTGTGTACACGAATCTTAGATGTTAATCTCATGAATAATTTAGTACACGTGTACGATTATATAACCGCGAATCAATCATTTTTATAATTTTTTAAAAGTATTTTTTAACGTATAGAAAATTTATTTTTTAATATAATATAACCTCTGCGCGTACCCCCTTTTTTTATAAAAAAAAAGTTGTAAAGTTCTTGCAGCAGAAGCGATTTTAATTTACGTTTAGCAAGAGATACAATTTTTCACGAAATTTCAGACAGACAGGAGAAAGTTAACTAGCTTAAATTGATTATCTTACGCATCACCAACTAAATGAATAACAACACACTTATGAATAAGTAGTGAAAAATTTTCCAAAGGATTTGATGGAACATTGCCTTGACTCAACCAAAATTCCTACAATATTGACTCGAATCTTTGTCCAAAATAGGAACAAAAATTGAAGAGTAGCTCGGAGGCAGTAGCCCTCATACAAATGATGCCATTTCAAAGAAACTTTGCTAAGATATTCTCTGAACGACTTCTATTGAAAAGATGCCCCTATAAAGGATATTCAAATTGGGCTAAAAACTAAAAAAAATGGAAGGAAATAAACTTTATATATATTCACGTCGTTACATAACCTTAATACTAATGAAACTGTAATCAATATTTTGAAAAATTACTTTTTCTTTTTTTCCTTCTTACATCTCTCTCACCTTTATAAGAAAGTAATAAAATTAATTTTATATCCGTAATAATTTAATTAATGTCTCACTTTGTAAGAATTTAACATAATTTTCTCCCTTTCTATCGCCACAATACGTTTATAAATTGATTAAAAACATTTAATTAAAGCCTCGTTTGCATTCTCTATACCTTCGTTTATTTGAATAATAAATATATTTTTTTCTATTCATATGTTTTAATAGGCGATTAGATAATTTTAGTCTTTATATATATACATATACATGCGCTTTAACACAGGAATTAAATCTTTCAAATACATATTTAAGAGATTAAAATACTCATTAAAAATTATTACATATATTAA